AAGTGGGAGATGGACTTGGAGGAATCCATATCAGGCAAAGAATTATTCAAAATATATATTCGTCCTCAATATGTGTGAAACATGTTATAGTTCAATTCAAGGTAGTACATCGTCTACACTGGTCTAAGGACAGATTGTGCAAATTCAAAAAGGACTTGGATCCGACGTGTGATCGCTGCGGACAATCTCCTGCCACACTCCTGCACACATTCTGGTCCTGTCCAAAGCTACATGGATACTGGCAAGGCAACTTTGATACCTTTTCAGGACTATTTGGACGAACTGTTCATCCATCACCACTCATTTCTCTCTTTGGGGTGGCTCCAGCAGAGGCTTCCCTCAGTGAACATCAGAGTACGGTGTTAGCTTTCTGCTCTCTACTGGCTAGAAGACTTATTCTTCTTCGTTGGAAGGATCCGCATCCTCTAGTATATGGTCATTGGTTAAGAGAAGTTATGTCTTACATTCATTTAGAGAAGATTAGATATACTGTTAGGGGATCTGTAAACAAATTCTTTGACATTTGGCAGCCATTTATATCTTATGCAGAAAAAAATTTCGGCAGGTAATTTTGTGTAAAGGTTAAATATTGTTTCTTTATACACAAACCTGTTCATTGTATCATTTGATGAATACAACATCGATTTTTGTTATTTCAGTGGATCCGGTATAGGAGGGGAGGGATGGGAGGGATTTTGGGTGCGTGTGTCTTGTTTTTTTGTTTTTGTAAGTCTGTTCCTTTTTGTGGTTTGTTAAAAAAATTAATAAAAAGACCTTGATCAAAAAAGAAAGTACTAATTGTGTGAAAATGTAAGAAGTAGAAGTAAAATGTAGGCTGAAAAATAATTACTCAAGTAAAGTACAGATACCCAAAAATTATACTTAAGTACAGTAAAGAAGTATTTGTACTTAGTTACTTTACAACCCTGTCATGAGCTGTGCCTTAGGCATGCAGCAATGCAGTGCACTGCCTGTGTCTTTAAGAGGAGAGGGAGTATAATGTGAACCAAGGAGGAAAGAAGGCACTAGGAAGCAAGTGAGAGAGAGAGTGGGTGAGGGAGAGTAAATTTATCCTTGGCAAAAAAAAAAAAAAAAATAAACTCATGTTCTGCTGAGCGCAGAGCATCCCTGCACCGGCATGCACAGTCTCCCAAAGCTGCACCTGCTGAAGAGTCTGCCCGCCGCTTTCCCACTTTTCCTCCTCACTCTCATCCACGCATCCAGAGGCTCTCCCACCCGAGCTCTCCCTCAACGCGCACACACGCACACGTGCTCGCAATCACGCACGCGCAGTGCTGTCAAAACCCCCCAAACCGCTGCTGGACCATAGCCATCTCGGGGAGGAGGTTCCAGCGGAGGCGAGAGAAAGCCGGGGGAGTGAGAGACAAAGGGGAAAAAAGGAGGACGGTTGAAGGCGAAGGAGCGAATAGGAGCGCGGGGACCGGGCGCGAGGAAGGAGACACACGGCGCTTTGTGAAGAAGAGAAAGGAAGAAACAGGAGGAGGGCGGAGTAGAGAGAGGAGGGGGAACAGGAAACGCGATCACTTTCAGCTGCAGCCGTTCGTGTCGCAGCATGGGCAATGCACCATCCCAAGGCATGTCAACCTTATCTTTATGCATGCTTGTGTTGCATTTTTTCTCTCTCCTGGTATTTTTATTTATTTATTTACCATCCAACCAGCTGGATGTCCTCCTGTTCCACTCTGAGGAAGCAGGGGATGGGGAACAGGAAACGCGATCACTTTCAGCTGCAG